AGGTTTGAGCTGATGCGAATGTGTTGGCAGTACAATCCTAAGATGCGTCCATCCTTTGTTGAGATCATCAGCAGCATAAAGGATGAGCTGGACCCGTGTTTCAGGGATGTCAGTTTCTTCTACAGCGCCGATAACAAGCCCCCCGATGCGCCGCAGCTCCACCTGGAAAAGCTAGACAACATGGAAGATGTTCCTCTGGACGTTCCGTCATCGACACAACTGCAGCAGACTCCAGCTCCCCAACAGACGCCCCCTTCCCCAAGCTCAGAAGCACCACCTGGCCCATCGCTAGCTCCCAGCTCACCTTCCTCTCCCTGCACGTCGAGAGCTGCCATGGACAAGCACCCCTCCGGCCAGCAAGCAGCTAATGGGCTGTCGGGGGCGGGGCACGCAGCGGGGGCGGGGCTCGGGACGGGCTCGAGCGTCACAATGCGGCCGTCTCTGGACGATCTGCCACCATACGCGCACATGAATGGAGGACGCAAAAATGAGCGTGCCATGCCTCTCCCGCAGTCCTCTGCCTGCTGATTGGACAACCCACCAGACTGCAAACCTTCCATCTGCTGGACATCTCAGTGGATGGAATAAAAAAATTTTTGTTGTTGTTGTTTTGGGGAATTTTTTTTTGTTTGTTTTTTAAATCAAATACAGCAAACCGCGCGGTCCACTAGCTGGATGTGACCATTCAGTGAGACTTACAGGAAGACGGAGCAAACATGTTCTTCTTTTTCTGTTTTTCCTTTTCATAAAGTTTTGGTTTCTACCAGCTGGCTGTCCAACGTGACACTGCCCTCGAGTGGGAAGATCAAAAACACTACAAATAAGAAAAATATCAATAATTTGTGAGATCTCTTTCTCTCTCTTTATGGCTGAACTTATTTTATAATCCATCATTTGTTACTTTTTTATATGTATTTACAAATGGGAGAAGAAAAATCTATAGGCCTTTATATAAAACGAGCGGCGTTTTGTTTGCTTTTGAACGGGCATTATGGTGAAAACGTTAAGCATATCTAATGAAGAAGAAACTCTTAAGAGTGACTGGCATGTCTCGTCGGTCGTTCAGTAGTGTGGTTGCTCTGCAGGCTGAGTGTCAGCGTAATGCCGGATCAACAGCCAACTCGCTGAAACAAACAACCAGAGGGGGAAAGGTCAACTCTGCCAAATTTATTGCCAAATTTATACTGTTTGTCAGATTCTCTCTTCTGCAGTTTTGCCCTGTAATTCTCCAACACACTCCATTGAAAATTAAAGCAAAACAAATCTGCTACTGCACTATTTTGAAATAAAAGGGATATTACCTTCCCTCTACAGTGCTACACTACAGTAAATCTGACATTATAGACTTTGAAATTATCTGAAATTGAGCCACATCTTTTCACAAAGTGCTGTACCATTACGGTTAAACCGCCAAATACAGTCCATAAAGAAGCAAAAAAAAAATTAAAAATTAAAAAAACAAACAAACTCAAAGCGAGGACTGCGGATGGAAAAAGTGTAAATGGGAAAAACAAACATAAACATGAGTTGTACAACGTCTCTCAGTCGGGGTTCTCCGAGTTCAGAGGCGTCTTTGTTGTTGTATTCGAACAGGTATTTTTTTAGGCTAGTCATCGGTCTCCAACATTTACAACATCTCTCTGTGGGCAGAGCATTTATGTACACACCAGTTGTTTGTGTCACTTTTCTAACTTTTCTACAGTTGGAGACATTCATCGTGTACAGAAAGAAGCTGCTATTCCTTATTTCTCTTTGTGGTTGTAATATAGTCAATATCTATATATCAAAAAGAGAAAAAAAAAACTCCTTCAGGTTGGATCTACGAACGTTTCAACTACAGTCCATTTTTTTTTAATGCTTGTAACTGTGTAAAGTGTATCTGAGCTGGTTTCGTTTCTGTGTTTGCGTATAAGGTACGACTATTTGCCTTGTGTTTTGAAACACTTCCCCTCCCATCTAATTAGGGGACAGCGATGGGGTGCGACGACCATTGGTGTTCTTGTGCTCTCTCGGGACCCTTTTGCATCAGTCCTCTATGGTTTGGACTAAACCGCTTCTACCCATCATTATCACTCTTAAGAGGCCAGGTGTCCCAACTAAATCTCAGGTTAAAGAGGAAAGTTTAATCCTGTTCTACTTTCCCGTTTGTTTTCTTCTTCTTCTTTTTTTTTCCTTGTTCTGTCAAACCCAGAGACATCCAGCCTGGTGTGTGTTAAACCTCGGTCTCATTCTTATTCTCTCTGACTGCTTTTCTTTTTTTAACAATACTCAAAAGCAGTGTTTTTACAACCGAATGGTTGTCAGGCTGCGTTTGATTTGACCTTTACACTTATATATAGAAACCTAATACTGACAAAATGTAGAAGTGAGACATTTCAAAATGTAGCATTAAACACTGATAAACAATACTGTTAGTTAAATAATTCAGAAGGCATATTAAATAAAGAAATATGTAATTTATGATAATCTTCTATTATACCAGCTCATCACCTTAGTTTCCCCCTTTTTTTTGGAGGGTTTGTGCACACTTGCTGTTTGTTTAGTGCCTTTTAGCCACCTAGCAGCAAGAAAACACTAAAAGGGGGCATGCAGTGGCGTCGAGGTGAGCTAATCCTAGTTATCTACCTGAGCCACCTGGTTCACCCAAGCTAACTTATTATAAAACAAACTCCAGAGTAAAAATTAAGTTGCTCACTTTAATTACTCCTTTATTTGTTACCAACTATACAGGTGATAAGTACAGTTTACATTTTTACCTGAAGCATTTTACCCAGCAAGAAAATATTAACACATTTTCTTGCTGGCTCATGCTAGTTATACCTTTTTTTTCTGGTTTATTATGAAAGAAAAGTGTTCATTAAATCATATGCTGCCATAATATGCCCTAATTCATGGTAAAAACAAGAGCCGAATATGAAGATAATTGTGTTAAAAATGTGATATTTGTACCAGAAATGGTCCTCATGCTAGTTTAGTTGGGGGGAAGGTTAGCTGGAGCTAAGTGGCTAGCAGCTCTGTCAGATGATCCCCACACATGCATAAAAGTCCTGAAAAAGTAATTAATGACCAGATTAATCATTAAATGTGTGCCAAAACCCTCCCAAAATCTCGGGCAATAAAAGATAAAAGGATGTATAAAATGTTCTTTTTAGTCCGCATTGTAATCATTTAGCTAACAGTATTATGTGAACTCACATTTCTTTTTTTCTGATACTGCATTTTGTCAGTTTCAGGGCTCTGTGTTAGTGCCGTGTGCAAACCTTAAGAGTACAATGCAAAACATAATTTATGTATTTCAGGCGAGTACAGAAACCTGTCTGTGGGATACTTTCACCTTCTTCTAATCAACTTCTGTCTCTTCATCAGGGGTGGTTTTCTTTAGGCTGCTAGAGTAACCCATATTATTTATCTTTTTTCAACATATAAACGTGTGTTTGTAGAAGATTGGGCTGAGACATGGGTGAAAATTAATCTTATAGCATTGAGAGGTTTTTTTTTTTCCCTTTGGGAACATTAAGATGTCACAGGTGACACTAAAAGGATTTATAAAAGGAACAAGTATTGAGGCCCTTCTCTTTGAGAATAAATCTTAATGGTATTCTTTATGAAGATTTACTGAAGAAAAACCATAATATATGATCAGAGTGGACCACATAGAAAGATTTTTAAAGGTTTATTTGCCTCTGAAAGCAGCATTTGTGTATCCCTTGCCCAAATGTTTCTTGGTTATTTATGTCCTTTTTGTGTGAAGTGTAAATCACTGTAAAAAAAAAATAATCCCCCATTAGATATTTTTGTTTTCCTTCTGATATGTTGTCATTTTGTTTTGTTTTTTTCTCTATTGTGGGGGAAGGTCTTGTTATTAATCCTTCAACCATCCATCTACCTCACTTTTTTTCTTTTTTTTTTCCAATCTATCTACATGTACAGAACAACAAAACATCTCACCTACAGTTGACTGGCTGTAATGACGATCTCACTGCATGCTGTCAATAACATGGTCAAATCCAAACCACAAACCAAACCATCCTGGAAACATGGTAAAAGTTCCAAGGGGAAAAACATGACCATCAAACATCTTGCTATTGAAGTTTGGCCCACGATGGCTTTTGTATTTGGGCTTTCTAAAGTCTGGAGGAGCTGCTACAAGCATACAAGAATGGAGGAAGGGCAGTTCTGTCCTTTGCACCTACTCTGCACATAATCCACCACCACATTATAGGGTTACGAAGTAGCATGTAGAATCCCCCCTTTTTATCTTTTGTATTTTTCAGGTTATCCTGTAATAAAGTGGATGAAGTTGTGACCTAAGCTAGCCACTATATGGCAAATCCACCTATTCGCTTGGTAAAACACACACAATGCAAACTTTCTTTATGGTACTATAAATTACTAACGTTTAATATGAAAAAATATAATGAAGAGTAAAACTTAAAAATGTTTTATGGGTGTATTAGGGCCACATTGAGAAATTACTATATATTTTTTCATTATGTTGCCCTAATATTTGTACAGTTCTGGATGCCATTGTTGCTTGGAAAAACACTGTCGAGTGGGGTTTTCAAAGAGAGAAGTAAATATAGCTGTAATTTAGTAGTAGTGCATGAAACTGGGTCTACCTGAAGGCCAAATTCGCACCTTTTAAATCCCACACGTGACCTGTGCCATGATGGTTCCGACCTAGAAAGCCCACTGAAGATGTTAGACAATCATTCACTTTATTTTTCTGGTTTATAAAGACAATGCTGCTACTATATGCTGTTTTAAAACTTGTTTAAACACATAAGGATACATATATGCAGGACTGCAGGCTGACAACCACCAGTTTCACCATTTTCAGTGTGACAGTTTAAATCCGTGAAAGCCCTCACTGCCTTTTATTACACTTTGAAGCACCGCCGAGTCTAAAACGAGCTTTCTCTGGTGATTTCTTCTTCTAGCTGTGGACAGTATAGACCGGTTTCAGCAGGCACACATTTTATGACTTTTTTTTTCTGTCAATACTTGCAGCAGGTATTTGGTACATAGAAATGTTGATAAGTGAAGGTTGTGTGACTTCTGGATTTCACTATAACTATTACTTGCTTCATTTGAGGATTTTTTTTTTCAACTTTTTTACTGCCATAACAGGACTTTAGAGCTGTTGCTTTTGCCTCTAGACCTGTTTCCACATCAGTCAAATGCTCTCCCTCGTTTTTCTTTTCTTTTTTTAAACCCTTCTTCCTCTCCTGTCAGGGTCATAACTTCAAACTGGAGGTCTCTGTAAGCCCAGCTGCAGGAAACGAATCCATGTTGGGTGGTCAGGATGGGTATTTTGGAGTTTGTGGTCTGAATTTTGCCTCACTTTTACCACTGGAACACCTCACAGAGCCGACATAAAATCAAATTTCGATATTTTTTTTTCTCTCCTTTTTTGGTTACATTGATGGTCATTTTGTTACCTGTACTTTTGATTTGTGTAAATTATTCATAGCCTTCCAACTTTTTGCGTTTTTATTGAAATGATCTGTTAGACTGAGGTTTCATTTTGGTTTCTCTTTTGTACATGCTGTTGTAAGAATTTTTCCTGTTATCGATATATTCTGAGTTCTGGGGAAAATTATTGGCTGAAGGAAAAGAGAATGTCTGTTTCTCTGATTCTTTTTTTTTTCTACAGGAGATTTAAGATGAATAAAAATGTATGCAAACTGTTTTGCTGCGTGTTTTGTTGGAACGGATGTTATTTGGGATGAATTTTGTATATTTCTAGTCAAGGTTTAAGGAAATATAAGTAGAACATCTCTGTGTATTTAATTTATAGTTCAATAACATGAGCACAGTGAACGAATATGGCTGAATTTATATAACAGGCTTAACATAAACGGCTGAAGCATGTTGCTTATTTTTCAAAAACAGGATTTGGTAACAGTAACCTGTGACTATAAACTGGATGTTGGATGCAGCTGCCAAAACCACATGTGCTGTCCGTGTTAATTACAGTATTCAGTTTTTATCCAAGTATTCCCTGTGAGCCAAAAGGTCAATTCAGGAGGATCTAAATGCTTTATCAGTTTTTTCTAGTCTTGGTTCTGTGTGATGTCAGTGAGTTTAACATGGCCATCTCAGGCACACAGCTCTCTGTATGCAGAGGCTCTACTCCAGTGTTTTCCCAAACCACAACAACACTTCCCTCATGGTGCTTTATATTGTAAGGTCAAAACCCTACATTAATACACAAAAACTCCGACCCCCTATGAGCAAGCACTTTGGCGACAGTGGGAAGGAAAAACTCTCTTTTAAAAGAGAGAAACCTCCAGCAGAAGCAGGCTCTGGAATGGGGTGGCCATCTGCCACGGCCAGCTGGCGATGAGGGAAGGAGGGCGGTTTTAAAATTTAATTTAGAAATTTAATTTAGATGCCCAATTTAAATAAATATTTTACGCCAATTTAAGAGTTTTGTCACATAATCGCATGCGTGTTTCAGTTACATTTTAGCGCTGGCATGAGAAAGCCCTAAAGATGACATTTTGGCTCTTCAACTTGGCATGTTTTTGGAAGGTTTTGACGATTACTTCGTCAATCACTGAGTTGCTTGACCTCATTAAGAGTACTGGAGAAGGCAACCTTTCATGGAGTTCATTGTATACTGTCAGGCTGCGTTGTTAAATGTTCTCTGAGGACATTTTGTAGTTTTTGGACAAAATTTTGTTCCAGATCTTATGGGAAACCCTCTGCATAATAAACTCAGATGTATCTGGATGCCATGTTGCCGTCTCATTTCCTTCAGCCATACACTGTAATCCCAAAAGTTATTTGGATTCAAATGGTTTAGCTATAATCACTGATGGTAATTAATTTTCTTTGTAAAACTAGCGTGCATTACCAGATCTTTAGTGAAATTTTTCACAACTTCCTTGTACTCTTCCCTGTTTTCAGAGACACTGAGTAGTCTTTTTGGTAAAGCCAACAGGTGTTTGGTGAAGGTTGGGACAGTAATGTTATCAAGCTGTTCCCTCAGATTAAAAATCAAACGTTTTTCCTTGCAGTTATGTGTTTTGAAAAGATCCTTGAGAATGGCCTTGTCTAGATTTTTCAGGTAATTTGGGGATAGATCCATTTTGGGAAAGACAGACTGTCCTTCTCCTGTTTTAGGATCAGGATTTCACCCTCTCTCTGCTGAAGCTGCTCTTTCAGACAGTTCATCTCAAAGTCAACGTTTCTGGTCTTTTCCTGATCTGAACCAGTCTGATCCCCCTTTTCTTTGATGGCACTGCTCATTTCCACTTTGCGTGACACTAATTCATCACATCCTCTTTTAAAAGTTGATTTTCAGACAGAGTGTTTAGGAAAGCTTTCCTAACGTAAACAGCGTTTTGAATCACCGATGACTGAGACTCTGTTTTTGCGTTTACCTGTAGATGAGGAATACAGAGTTCGTCACGCAACGACAAAGGTATGTGCCTTTTTTCACGTCACACTGTGCGCCATGTTATTGTTTACATGAGATGAATTGCAGAATAGCAGATAGAGACAAAATACTGTTACTGTTAATCTTAATATCTTCAGGTTTTACACGCTTACATATACACATGAAGTTACTGTCCCTCCATTTAGAAAGGCAGAGGCATCATGGTGTAATTATTTTTACTTGTAGTTGTTTTTTGTTTGTGTGGGAGCCCCGTCAAAAACCTGTCTGTTACGCTAGTCCAAGCATTTTTTTTTCTTTTCATACCGTGCCCCCCACCCCCTTGCAATGGCTCTGCGCCCCCCCGGGGCGGGTCCCACACTTTGGGAACCTCTGCTCTATAACATCTTCTTGTGACTATTTGCTACACAGACCTTCTGCAAGACTGATGCACGCAGGACTTTATCAGCTTTTTGACCTTCTGTCCAGAGAGAGGAGGTTCAGGTCTGTTCAATCAGACACTAAGAGAATCCAAAGCTGTACGGACCCTCATTAAACACCGTCACACAACTGCGGGTCAATATGAACGCATCATGCAGGTGTACGAGGTGGGAACTCTGAGATTTTTGCGTCTATCTGTGCTACTTACGTGTAAAGTAGGAAGGATAATATTTAAAATAAGCGGGCGAACTGATCTATAAATGTTATATGAGTCACTAGTGTGCGGACATCAAAGTGCTGATAGTGAAGTGCAGACCCTTTTATTTACCGAGGGAATTCAGTGCTGTGTTTCTGCAGGCTGTTTACATCCCGCCGCGTTCTGATTGGACCACAGCGCTAGGACTGCTGCATGACGTCATCAGCAAGCACGAGACCGCTCACCCAGATGCTGTGTTTGTTGTTGCCAGGGATTTTAATCACTGCAACAACAACAGCTATGTAATGGGCGCATACAAGGCAGTGCCTCGGCCGCATTTTGGACAGTCCGACAACATTTCTGTTTCTCTGTCCGGCATACGGGCAGCTCCTCAAACGAGCCCCAAGTTTGGAGTGAAGAGACTGATTCGGTGCTTCAGAACTGCGTTGGTGCTACAAACTGGGGTGTGTTTAAGACTGCTGCCATAAGAGAGGACGGTTCTGTGAATTTAGAGGAATATGCATCAGTGGTCACCAGCTGCATCAGCACATGCATTGACAATATTGTCCCCACCAAGCGATACAAAACATATCCAAAATCAGAAAACACGGTTGAACTCTGAGGTACGTTCCATGCTGCATGCACGCTCCACTGCATTTGCCTCTGGTGCCGTAGAGGGGTACAAAAAGGCCAGATATTACCTGCGCAGATCCATCAGGGAAGCCAAGTGGCAGAACAGTCTGAAGCTGGAAGGACACTACAACAATTCAGACTCCTGACGCATGTGGCAGGGCCTGCAACACATTAGTGATTTCCAGCTGCAACACGCTACCAGATGAGCTGAGTTCTACGCTCGCTTCGACACTCTCAACACCAACCGATACAGAGGGATTCTACCAGCAGGGGCAGCACAGAGCTCTTCACTCACTGTGACTTTGACTGAGGTATGCAAGGTTCTGAGGAGGATTAACCCGCGACAGTGACTGACTTTGAGGGTGTGCTCTTCAGAGCTGGCTGAGGTGTTTACAGACATTTTCAACTTGTCCCTCACCCAATCAGCTGTGCCCACATGCTTCATGTCTACCACCATAGTGTCCCTCCCCAAGAAAAACAACATAACCTGATTGAATGACTATCGCCCCATCGCACTCACTTCAATTGTAATGAACTGTTTTGAGAAAATAGTCATGTCCCATATCAAAGCAGACATCCCGGATACATTAGACCCTCTGCAATTTGCATATCAGCGCAATCGAACTACTGAGGACGCAGTTAATGCAGCCATCCACACAGCCCCTTTCACACCTCAAAAATAAGGACACCTATGTTCAAATGCTGTTTATAGACTACAGCTCAGCATTCAACACCGTCATCCCAAGCAGACTGGTGGAAAAGCTCTCCACTCTTGAACTGACACCCCAGTCAGTCAGAGTTGGTATCAGGACAACAGGTACAAAGATAGTGAGCACAGGGACTCCCCAAGGCTGTGTGCTCAGTCCACTGCTGTACACCTTCTTCACCTATGACTGTGTTCCTGCACAGGTATACACTACATAATAGAACTGTAATTACCCCTAACCTGTAAATTTGCAATTTTTGTACAGATCTCTGCATATACACCTTAATATTGCATACTCCGTATATATTATCACTGTGACAGTGTTGCAACTACTTGCACTTTAAATTCTGTTAACACCCACATTTACAAAGCACTGTTTTACTTATTATTGCTTTCTTTTAGTTGTGTGAAGGGAACCCACAAAGTAAGAATTTATCAGTCCCATTTATCAGTATTAATTCAGATATGTCCCTCTGAGGAACAGCTGGACTGGATGGTGAATTTTTGTTTTTATTGGCCAATGTTTTTTTGTTTGTTATTTTTTGTAACGGTATAAACAATGAAAGGTGGGGGATTGGCCAATTGGTCACAGTTGACTCTGGTCTGGACCAATTACAGTCAAAGAGGTTGGATGCACCCTCCTCCTTGCTTGAGTAATGGCTCTCAAAGCAGTCTTATCACAGGCAAACAGAAGAAAATGGTATTGAGGTATACATATTGAGGTTAAAAGGGACGCGATTTGATCTGTACTTCAGCTAGAATGAAAAAAAGACACAAAGCTGGAGTTATTCTGTGTCTTTGCTGCACAACTGCCCCTTCTTCTCTCATTCTCTCCCCCTCCCTCTCCTGTTGCTACTTCAATCATGGAACTGATCAATGATCAGCTGATTGGCTTTTCTGAAGCAAGTCCCATCTCTCTTGTTTCTTTATGACCCACTTTGCGCCAGAAAGAGGAAACCAGCAGATGTCGCGCTAAACAACAGCAGCACTTTAAGCTTGATAAGCTGTTGTTAGAATTTATTTAATATTACTTTCTAGTTTCAGCGGATGTTTGCTGGAGCCACAGCTGTAAAAGCTGCTGGTCATGATATCTGTTTGGATATGTGGTGAGAGGGAAACATGAAGATGAAACCAGGAGATGTTCTTACTGAATCATCAGAGCTGAACAGGTGATGGAGAAACAGGTTTAGCTTTTAGGTGACATGAAGGAGTTGAAGGAAAGTTATGAACTGTTTCTGAGAGATAAATAACACCAGGATCATTTTCTATGTTGACAGCTGGTAACTGTGCAGGGGCGGTTCTAGCAAAGTTTTGCCAGTGTGGCCGGTAGGGGACAAGGAAAGGGGGGCACGAAGAAATACTTTTCTTTCTTATTCTCATTTAAAATGTCTAGCTTTTGATAAATAATTATCTGAATCTTACAACCAAAGTTTTTATCTGGTGTAAAATGTATAGAACTCATACATACATACCAACAAGACAGTGTACATTACTGTCACAACAGCGTTTCTTTTCATTCAAAGGCTTTATGGCTTTTCCTATAATACCTCGTGGGGCGGTCTCTAGTCAAAATGCCTCTGCCGATTTTTTGTCCCAGTCCAGCCCTGATAAAAAATCACCCCTGATATTCCTCTCCATCCATTCCGCCCTACCTGCACTCTCCTTTACCTTTCTTGTGCACAGACCATTGCTTTGGACGGTTTACCCCAAGTATTTAAAGTCATCAGCTTTCACTTTCTCTGCTCCTTGCAGTTTCACCATTACGGCTGTGTCCCTCTCATTCACACCTCTGTTCTTTCTTGCTTACTTTCTACTGTATATCTCATAGCTGTCTTCCTGTCCTCATTTATGTACTGCAACCCTCTCACATACTTCTCTGCCACTCCTGACAACCTCGTGTAGTACCACTGTTTCTGTCTTAGCACCCTATCATATGCTTTCTCTCGATCCACAAAGACGCAGTGCAACCTTCTCTATACTTTTCCACCAACAGTCTCAAAAGTCTTTTTCTCCTTCCTTAGTGTTCAGCCTCATATACAAGTCGGTATAAGCTACAATTCATATATATTATATCTATTATATCTTCAATGTACTAATAACTTGAGAACAAAAATGTTTATCCTGAAAGATTTACATGTTTGGACTACAGTTCCATAGAGCCCATTCTTTTTGTGTCATCTCGCGAGAAAACGGAAATAGAAATACACGAATCACCTGAAGAGGGCAGTAACGCCCCTTCGCTCCGTCTAGTCCGCCGAAAACTTCCCCACAGGAAGAAGACGACGAAGAAGGAGGTAGCCTTGACGTCTGGCCGTGGTTGGTTGTTGTTGTTTAGCAACCATTTGCTAGTTAACGGGTAGTTTACCTTTGACATCGTATATGGCGCATTAAGCTGGTTATGAGTATATGTGAGGTTTAAAGGGGATTAAAATGGTCCTGCAAAGCTGAGGTAAACTACAGTTTTCATGTTATTGGACAGTAGCAGCCTGTTAGCTGTCATGCTAATAGTTTAAAACAACAGCTTATGTTTTCTTGTGTGTCATTTGGCGTCTAATTTTGTCTAATATTAAATGAACTAACAGGTTCCTACTTTATGCAACCGTGAGCCATTAACTGTAGTTGCACATCACACGAAAACCCCCTGTTAATGTGGTCTGGGTCCACCTCATGTCGCCATTGCAGCTTGGAATATCTGTCAGGACGTCTGCTCATGTGTTTGTCTGTCAGGATCCAGTGATGCCATAGAGGTAGGAGGCACTGCCAGGGCTCCTCCACCGGAGGACGAGAGGTCTCCTTAGCAATGGCAACCGAACTTCATGAGACCATATTCATGGCCAAGCAGGAGCGCCACAAAAACCTGTTTCTTAACTACAAAAACCTGAACATTTTCCCCGTGGAGCTGCTGAAAGATGAAGGCCTGCAGTTTCTGGAGAGACTTTACATGAAGAGAAACTCACTCACTACACTGGTATCCACACAGTGCATTTTCATTTTACCATATGAGACACTTATGAAACCCAAAGAAAATTTCTAACTACTTCTGCTTTTGCTCTGTCTTTATCAGCCTGACAATCTTGCTCAAAAGCTCCCAAATCTCATTGAACTGTAAGTATTTTGCTAAACTAAGTTTTGTTTTATAAATGATGACAACAGAGAGTTGACACATGCTGTCGGAGATTGATGGTGTGTTTTGTGTTTATCAAGAGGTTTCTAGTGAAGTTAACCACCAGATGTTGCATCACTAAATGAGATTAACTGTCTCTCACATTTAGGTGTTTTCAGCAGCAAACACCAGAGCTGTAATTGTCTTACTTGTCTGCTTGTACATTTCAGGTATTTGCACTCAAACAACTTGGTCATTATTCCTGAGGGTAAGCACATTGTCCAGTACAATAATATTAATAACAGTGTTTAATTCACTTGTTTGAATATTAAGATTGGTTTCATTCCCAGCTATTGGAAACTTGGCCAGACTGCAGTCGTTAGACCTGAGCAATAATGCCCTGCAGGTTCTCTGTCCAGAGATCGGCAGATTGAGGTCTTTGCGGCACCTGAGACTGTCCAATAACCAGCTCAAATGCCTTCCTTCAGGTAAGACACAACAGTTGTCTGTCTTGTTTTTAGATTTCCTTTTAGAGGCTTAAATTATTTTACATTATCTTATATTCTTTGGTACCTTTTCAGCCAGTAGCCTGAGTCCTTTATTCAGGGGCATCGGTTTAAGTACAGCTACCTAGACCAGTGGTTTGTCTTGGAGCAAGTCCAGATATTCCTTCTGATTTTGTGCCAACCATACACTGCAGCAGCACAAACCACAGTGAATGAAATTTAACATTGCTGACCCCTGTGCAACAAGGGTTAGCACTGTATAGTTTATAGTGATAAAGAGAGTCTCATTTAGTTACAATGGTCACAGATACATGAAAGCTGAATTTAAGCTGAATGCTTAATGTTTGCAAAATCTGATACAAACCAGAATTTAACCCCTGCCCCTCCCCCACAACAAACGTTATACTTACACTATGCATTGGCAACATTTTTATATCATTAGGACCTAATTAAATGAGATCATTGAACAAAATGTGCTTATTCACATTATAGAAAACCAAGGAAAGCTTAAAAAAAATGTGTTTACCTGTGTCTTTATGAGCACAGAGAAGGAGGATGTCCGCTGGAAACTGTCATAAAATTCTACTCTGTACTCGTGTCAGTGCAACAACACGATTGGCTAATGTATTCATGTTTGAACTATTGATTGGCACTTGTCTTACATAAAAGCTTCAAAACAAAACACTAGTGGAATAAAATCGTTTATTCTGAAATATTACAAAAAAAGAGCAAAACATGTACAACATACGTGTATTGGTAATGCTTTTACCTGCTTCAGCAATTTCTCTGTAAGAGTAAGACTTATATTTCATGTTTGGCATAAAATCACTTTGAACTGTTGCTTTTTTTCCCAGCGTGTTTGGTTTCCCGACTTGTAAATATTTTAATTGCCAGCAGAGAGCAGCAGAGCTCTACCTGAGAGAAAAGTTTTTAATTTTTTTTTTAAACACAGATTATCGAGGTGCATATAAGTAGTGTAGCTGAAGCTGAAGGGAGGTTGTGCAATTTCATATACTTTAAAATAAAAAAAATAGTTACCCTCCGTGGATTTTGTCAATAACTTGAAACCAACAACCATTTGTTTTGCCCATAGTCAAATTCTCAGTAACGTATTTGTTTGCCTGTTTTCTTTTTGCCATGGTTCTTGATGTTTCCTGAACTTAGTGACAACACCAACAATTTCTTTTTCGAGTCTCACAATTTCTGTTGACTGAATTTCATCCTAACTGTGAGACAGTGTGTGCAAAATAAAAATAGTAGTGATGAGAAACAGTGCTTCCAGCCCTATATCAAAGTATACTTAACCAAAACCAGAGAGTATATTCAGTTACAGCTGTGGTTCGAAAATAATATAATCATTTGACTGTGCTGCTGTTCTTTTTGCAGCGATGCTCTCGTTTTGCTTTAGAAATCCCACAGGCTCCTGCATCTTTCTAAGAGGAGGGTATAATGGGCTTACATCAGCTTTAGCCAAGATGATGAAAAAAAAGACCTGTCAACAAAGATGTTATGTCTAGTTGAGATGTTTGGAAACCCTTTGGTTTTAAGGCATCCAGCGAGGAACAACAAATACAAATCAAATTTCTGATAAAAGTTTGACAAAACTGGGATTTTCTTTTTTCTTTCTTTCAAATAATAAAGTTTTGCAGCTTTATCTGAGATTTACGTCTCTCACATATTTGTGACACCTGCAGAGATTGGTGATCTGCAGGACTTGGAGACGCTTGACGTGTCGATGAATCAGCTGATGTCTCTACCGGACCGACTGCATCGCTGTCTCTCACTACAGAATCTGACAGCGGACCACAACCTGCTGAGCCACGTTCCCCGGCAGCTCTGCTGGCTCCACCGCCTTAACCAGCTCTCTATGGCAGCTAACCGGCTGACTTTCCTACCACTGGGTCGGTGAATCCTCTTCTCTGTCCCTCCGTTATTTGCTCTAGTGGTGACAATGTTTGGCGATCGTGGCTCAAGAGTTGGGAGTTCGCCTTGTAATCGGAAGGTTGCCGGTTCGAGCCCCGGCTTGGACAGTTTCGGTCGTTGTGTCCTTGGGCAAGACACTTCACCCGTTGCCTACTGGTGGTGGTCAGAGGGCCCGGTGGCGCCCAGGGTGGCTGTGGCTACAATGTAGCTTGCCATCATCAGTGTGTGATTGTGTGTGTGAATGGGTGGATGACTGGATATGTAAAGCGCTTTGGGGTCCTTAGGGACTAGTAAGGCGCTATATAAATACAGGCCATTTACCATTTACAATAAAATGAGCGAGGTGGTGTTGAAGTCTTTGTGTGTTTCAGATCTGGGCAGATCACGGGAGATGCAGTTTGTGTTTGTTGACAACAATGTGGACCTGAAAGGACTCCCGTCCTACTTGTACAACAAAGTTATCGGCTGCAGCGGGTAATACACCATCCCAACAGCTCAACAGATACAATTTAAGACAACTGATAAAGGTCATTGCTGATAAGCAGAGTGAAAAAGAAATGCAATTCCATGATGTTGGATATAAGTTAGCCAGAAAATTAACTGGTATTTAGCCAACAGACTGCTGGAAAAGGGTAAATACTAAATGTATAGAGAATGTGGCTGGTTGGGACAAGAGCGAGGTGGTGAGTATTATCCTCTGCATAGTGGTGAAACTGTCTTAACATATCATCTTAAGATCTGCACATGTGAGGGGAGGATACTGATATACGTCTTGTATAAAATAAAGGTGGTTTGTAGCATCTTTACTAAATACAACTGCAGACTTAATGGGCTGCATACTTGTGTTTGTGTGTGTTGTTGTCCTGCAGATGTGGCTTATCTGCTCAAGCGCTGGAGGGTGGACTTGGTGAAATGCTGGGTGAGGAATTGAGTGAAGCCTTGGTTGGCCTGCCAGCTGAAGTGAAGGTGGTGGGCTCAGAGACAGAACATGTTGTTCCCCTGGAGGAGCTGGCTATGAGGACGCTGCACCGCACCTACCACCGCCGCCCAACAGGTGAGGAGACAGTGTTCACTCTTAAGTTAGAAAACACCTGCTGGTTATAATTGAATAACTTCAAACTTTAACGGCACCTTTTTTGTTTACTGCTGTTTTTAGAGCTCAGCTTGCTGCCTCCCATCACCCTTCCAAAGAGCCTGCGGGATCTGTTGCAGTTCCCCCTCGGTCACTGTCACCGATGCAGTCAAGCCATGTTCACGATCATCTACCCCAAACTCTTCCCCCTCCGTGACACCGCCCTGGCAGGAGTGCACCGCAGGTCAGGCAAACACACAGTCTTTTTTAGTTTCCCCCTGAAGAAGGATTTAACATGCATACTTACGTCCTTCTCCTTTCCTGTTCAGGACCACTGTGAGTTTTGTAGCCTACTGCTGCTCCAGTCACTGCCTCCGAACCTTTGACCTCCAGGGGTGATCTCATTTCCTTCTCTCTCCCCTCCCCCACTCACACACTGACATATAACATCAGCTGTGGATCTTGAATGTCTGTGGCTCGCTACTTGATAAAGAACCTGGCAGAAGCAGCGTATGCAGATGTTTGGTAGGTCAGATGATGAACACAAAGCTCAACATTTCAGAGCTTTGCATTCCTGTTTGTGTGGGGGAGGTCAGCAGCAGTGCACAGTAGTGCTCATTAAATGGTAACTACCCACTCATAACTGGGCACTTTTAAGAACAAACACTTTAATCTTTGTGGAATAAGATGTTTTTTTCCACTGAAGCTTTTTGCAGCAGACTCATTGATTGCAGAGTGATCTTTGAGGTGTTAACATTTGTAGCATGCTTTTGTTTTTATGATAACCGAAGAATATTTGAAGGTTTGTGAGTTCAAAGAATGTTTATCAGTTTGATGTGTGTTAATTTCAGAAGAAATTAAAGTGAATGTCTAAAATAGAAAATCTACATTTGAGACAACATACTGCATGAAGTCATGTTCTTAGTCACAGTTTTTGTGAACTCTAAGACCTACTAAAGACAATGAGCCAAGGATTCATGTTAGGGTTGTCACGATATCAGACTTAAACTTCATCATTATAATATTGTAATATGAGTGGTTGAAAAAGAAACTTCTGTACTTGTGCTTTCAGTCAGATTCATTAACTTTGTTTATTGGCCAGTTAATTAAACTCAAAATTCGTAGACATGGCGAGAGATGCTATGATGCTTAACCCTACAAAAGCATACAAAACAAAGTTTTTTCATATTGTGCATTGACACAATATTTACATTTCATTTTTAAATATCAGGATTTTCAATACATGTTATCGTGACACCTCTAACTCGCATTTATTTGACAGGTTATGAGAAAGTTTGTTATATTCTATATCAGCTTTTAAGATTTGACCGTTTTATATGTTAACAGCAATGTCTTTTTGTCATAACAAGAATTATAATAACACACTCTGTGTTTAAAAAAAAAAAATACACAAACCAAAAAGTCAGATTTTCACACTTTTTAGGGTTTAAAGGACACAGACTGTCTGCCTGAAGAAAAAGAGAGATTTAAACACAAGCAGCGCTGTGTGTTTCTCTTGTTGAACTGATATGTGTGTGTGTGTGTGTAATGTTTATTACCATATTGTACAGTTCTAATTTATCATTTGTTTTGTTTGGCAGTAAATATTGACTGATGTTTGACTTTGAATTTGTGTTTTTCTTACAAAAGAGAGTTCATCATAACAGTCGCCCATAAAGAAAACTGCAGAGAGGACAGAAGCATCTATTATCAGATCCATTACATAAAGTTCTGAAATGTCTGAGAAAACACAGCTTTTAATGTGACTCAGGTCTGAATCCTGTGAGAATCACGTCAGTCTTACAATATGTTGTTAAAGCCACAACAGAAAACGTGCCGTAGTCGCCTTTTGACTGCACCCATGTAAGCACCAACCTCTGCACCACCATGCCATTCTCCTTTACAACAATAACTCAAAGGTCTGGAGATCTGGGAAAAAGAAATAGAAAGAAGTAGCCTTGGGTCAGCCACACAATGCGCCAGAACCCAGAACCTCCCTCCCTAAACTAATTACGTAATTTGAACTAAGCTAACAAGTAAAAGTGAAAAACAGACACTAGGAGAAGATACGAGAATGAGAATTGTTATTTGTAATAAAGCACTTCACTTAGTTTGTTTCTTAGTTTCGTTGGTAGTGGAAGACTTCAGTCTATAAAACGACACAGGTTTAGATTTTATTTATTTTTTGTTCTCTTTCTGATGCCTTACAGATGATTGAAATTGCTGCCCAGATCACCCAAAACACTTTCCACTTGAAAGTTTTCAATCATGAACACGTTCAAATCTTCTGTTTTCCCTCTCTTTGCATTTCACAACTAAGAGTGCATGTTTTTTTTCTTTTCTTTTTTTTGTTAAAGTTCAGCTGCTTGGCTATAACAGTTGTTTGTGTCAGTAGGTCAGGAGAGTCGAGCTCTTTGGCTCCCCATTATGTGGGATATACAAAACATCCGGCCAACAGGAAGGTCTTGTGCCAGTTAGCCTCAAGCCAAGCATGCCAGGGGAGCTTTGCTTAACTCCTGAGTCAGACTTTTATTTTCCTTATTTATTCCTCTCATATACCAACTATCCCCCGCTGAACATGCTAGCAGCATACCCCGCCTTTCATTTCTTATTTTCTTTATCGTTTGCATTTTTTGCAATGAGTCCATCTGTAGCTGCTGCATAATAACAGAGGGTTGTTGAGAGGAAAGCGGAGCGGCTCCATTACCTGGATCGATGACATGTTCAGACAGATGTGATACCATGATCCTCTCTGACTGGTGCTTCAGCTTTCTGCCCTCCCTCTGGGACTATTCCATCTCAGCTGCCTGCACATAGGAAATATCACTCGTCCATACTTTATGCTCACATAAAGACACAGGCAAAGCAAAGCCTCATGAATTTGTACATAAACACAGCACTGCAAGAACACATGACGAGAAAGTCATCAGTGCAAATTGAACATGTGAGCTCAGATGAATCTGAAGGAAACCTACATTTAAAAGGAGGATTAACCCCCCCAAAAAAGATTGCAAATCCTTGTGCAGATGGACTGGTGTTGTGAGAAGTCAAGATTTCTCAGATGGTGTTTTCAGAGCCTGATGTGGTATGTTCACATGAAGTAAGAAAAAACCTACTATCTACTTTCTTAACCCACATTATGTTATATACTGGCATTTTTAATGTATCTGGTTGTCATACTTGTACAATTTCCTTCATCAATGACAGATACTGAGGATTTCAATCATTTATGTCCAAGGTGGTGGTTGGTGGGGTGTTAGGGTTAGCCTCAGTAGACTACCTGCTCTACCTCCTGAACTACAGTTGTTCCCAACTTCCATTTGAAGCTGATTTAGGTGAAATAAAAACTGCTCTTTCCTCCCAAAGATAACATCTGTTCTTCTGCACAGAGATCAGTACCAGGACTGTAGTATTTGATAAGTCAGCGACAAACATTGTCCAAATATCACTGATAGCAGAATGTTTGTCCACAGCCGGCTTGTTTGCTGTGGTTGCTCAGCTGTCAAACAGCATGTGCCTGAGGATAACTTGGAATCTTGTTCTAGGTCTATTAGGCATAATTCATGGTTCACTGTTGCAACACAGTATAGTATGTTTGTAATTCAAAGCGAAAAGGTAGAAAAGACAACAAAAAAAACCCCATAACAACAGCACATAAACAAAGGGATTCAGACCTGATCCAAAAGTTAATGACCTGTCCCTTTGCCTCTCCTCCACCTCCTCCACCTCTGAGTTTCATTAAATTCAGCCGGTCAGTTTCAGGTACACGTGTAGATTACTATACACCCTGAAAATGAGTTGATATCTTTGTAGCTGCATGGGTTTTATGATTAACAATAGTGCAGTGCAGTATTCAAATGTCCCAATACCACACGTGTAGTACTTAACACATTATGCAGCCCGAATCCTGTCACTGTTTTGTAAATGATAGCTAAATACTTATCAGATTATATGCATTCAATTGACACAGCCAGTTGCCAGTTCCCAACTGTCACACATCAGAGTAATCACTTGGAAATGTCTCTTTGCTGGATGTTCTGTGCTATGCATAAATTTGCACTCTGAGCCATTTTCAAACACTCGAGGAGGACCGCTTCAATCAGTGGCAACACGGTGTCACAGTGTTATTGGGTTCTTGACTTTATTGCTATTGGATCATCAACTGGGAGGGAGGAAAGCCAATCCATCACCTGCATAGATCCATTCTGCTGCTAATCAGCTGCTTTCAGGCCTCGAGGGTCAACTGGATTTCTGGAGAATGTTTTAGTGTTTTAATAGTAAATAATGAGGAAGAAGACAGTAGAGCGATAAGGACATTAATCCAGGAGAGATGACAAGGACTAGTGTAGGATCACCACATGCTGCTGATGGAGCACAGTAAGGACTTGCTTGACAAAACAACAAATTTAAAGAACAAGAACCTAAGGGCTGATTGGCTCAAAGGACACTTGGAAAAGCGTAGTGACATAATTTTTTTTAATGCGTTTTTTTTGACAGTGTGGGAATTGACAAGGAGAAAGATGATATGATCTGATCACTGCTAAGCCTTTACCTTACACTCCTTTCCCCAGCTCATTAGGACCTCTCCTGTGTTATCTCTCCACAGTCGCAGAAATAATCAAGGCACCATGGCTCTCATCTTTTACCTGCTTAATGTTTGTCTTGCATGTATGCTGTTTGCGTCTGCAGATGTGAGTCATCTAAGGCCACGTATCCGTTAAAGTACAATAAATAAAAGCTGTCAAAAAGAGAGTGCACACAAGCAAATTTTCATCTTAAAAAAGGAACAACAAGCTTCTAATTTCTGCAATTTCTCCAGCTAAAAAGACCTTTTTAGTAAAGAAGACGTGTTGCCCCTGCACCATGTCTTTTCAAGCATTTTAGCATTTTGTGTGATTATATAAAGTCAAGGACTCCAGGGGCAAACAGCTGAGCACACAGAGGACAATCTCAAGAGGCTTTTTGGGCTCTGTGTGCATATAAACACACATGGATAGATATGCTTGTGACAGGAAGTATGGTCAGTGGAGATGGGAAATGTATTGCATGTAAGGGGATGTAAGGTTATTAAAAAAATATTTAGGGTAGGAAAGAAAATCATCATACTTGTAACCATGAAAATCTTTCTGTATACCAATTAAAAAAAAAGAATAGAAAAAAACTTGAACTACACGCTTTTGGATTTATGTCAGAAATATTCTATAAATAAATAACATTTTCTTTGAATGCTCTCTTATCTATCCCTCAAATCGCATTAATCACCTGCACTGAAAAAAGTCAGATTTGTCAGATTTTTCTTTCTCACATTTATTATTGTTTTCATTTGATTTCCTTCAGTAAAAAGTTTTCTTTGTCAGTTACTCTGCTTTCTAAGTAGTAAACAGTCGGACTAAAGCACCGTGAATTTAGATCACAGACAATAATCTGCGGTTTGCGCAGATCAGCCTGCAGCTCTGCCTGATATCAATGCAGAAAGACAGCAGCCTGCAGCCAACATGGCTTTGGGCAGCGCGCAGCTGACCTACCTTTTTATCCGTTACCGTTGACGTCAGAGGGCGCGGCCATTTTGTGAGAGGCGTCAATGAGACAGGAAATCAGGTGGCATGGCTGTCAAATTAAAACCAAACCTAGTATTATTATTATTGTTGTTAGAAGTAGCTGTGTTGCTATATATCTTGTATTTTATCTAATAGGAGAGCAGGTAGCACTGCCTGGTTGGCTTGTGCCTAATGCCTTACGTCCTTCTTAGTGCAACTCTCAAGGAATTTGTGTCTTCCCATGTAATCAAACCGGGGATCTTTCACAAATGTTAGGGAAATGTGTATTATTCATTTATTATTGCTTCCAATAACAGGAGTAAAGCATTTCGTGGCTTTACCCTGTGCTATAATCTATGTATGACATGTATATTTCGACATTTCCGACTTGTAGTGTTGTTGCTTTGCCACCTTTAAAAGTAGTCCTGGATTTCTTGGCATGTCGGAAGTTTTTTTCAGCACCACTTCCTGTGTATGCACCTCCTAATGACCAAACACCAGTCACGTTATACACAGTTTTCACTTAATGTAACTACACAGTTCCTTCACAGGTTTTATTTTGTGAATCATTAACAGGAAGTGTTTGATGAGTAGATCTGCGGCGATTAACGCTTGCTGTGGCGGTTAAGGGGGAGGGCGGTGCTGATCCAGCGGAGGGCGTGGGGGTTGGGGGGCGGGGACAGTCCCGTTGAACGGAGCGGCTGGACGGACAGACATCTTCACCCTGTACAAGCATACAGCAAAAGAAAAAGAAGAGAAAGAGCTGAAGAAACTTATCCAGGTCGGTTTAATTCGATTTTTTAATCCTCTCATTTTGACCCACAGAATAATCAAAAGAAGAGCGATAATTAAAGTTTGAATGATTCTCCAGATTTCAGGTTTTAGCAGTTTATGCGTCCCAGGACGTGACAGAGTTCTCAGCTGTAAGAACGCGTCATATTTGCTAGGTTATTTTTTGTTTGTGAGGTGATGATATCTGAGGGGAAACGAGGACCATGTTGCTGAGGTGTTTCTGTTGTGTTTGTAGCGACTCTGCGTCGACGCATGTGCTGAATTGTTTGAACTTTTGGCTGTTTCCTGTTTTCTGTCACAGGGGAAGAGTGGTTGTTTTATGTAAGGATTAAACAACAGGATAACACAGACTGTGTAATCTTGTTTTTCATGTTTCTGAAAGCTTGTAGGTGTAGTTGGCCATTGAACAGAAAAGCCGTGTGCAGGTTCAGGACCTTGGACAGCTCCCGAGTCTGAAACACGCTGAAAAACACTTTACGCACAAAGCGAAACGTTTGTTCTCAAAGTGTTCCCCCCAAAAATGAAAATCTGAAGTTAATCTATTCGTGAAACGAGGCAAACTGAAGCAGTAAGTCGTGAAAAATACCTGAATGTAGTTTCTGCGCTCTGGAAACAAGTGAGACAGCATTCGTTATCACACTTATTGTTTTTATAAAATGGCCAGGCTGTTTGTGGTTCAGATCTGTTTTAATCCAGAGGTCTGACTTTTCACCTTTCCTTCACTTCCTTTTTCCAGAGGACCGTACAGACACAGTGAACAGGGAGCCGTTAATGGTAACAGATCATTTTCATGAGGGAAAGATGGATGTTCGGTTAGAGCGTCATGTGCAAGAAAAACAGAAGCAGAAAAAAAAGAGCAGAGGTCAGCATATAAGTATTTGAAATAATTATTTTAAGATACTAGTTTTTAAGGCCCTGTCTAAGAAAACGTGTACAATAGTCGCTCCTATGACTGAAGCTGCGCAGTTGCGACATTAAGGTTGAATTCAGTTATGAATCTTGCTTATGAATTAAAATTCAAGTTAAAGTAGAAACTGCTCCAGTCTTTCTCCCTTTCCTGCATGTGCACCTGTGTTAATGTCAGAGAGGACAAAGAGCTCAGGCCGACTCTTAAGCAGATCAACGTGTGTGTGTGTGTGTGTGTGTTGTCTTTTTTTGGCAGCCTGGTGTTGTTTGTAACTCGATGTAAACAGGTGGATATTTCAATTAGGGCAGGAAATGACTGCAGCACACCCAACATGGACTAATTGAAACATATCCAACTTCCAGTCAATTCTATGTCCTATGTTGTATTTTGGTTTTGCTGCTGCTTTAAATTATGGAGTGCAAATGCATCCATCATGTAAAAAAAATTATCAATCTCAGCTGCAACAGGTGAACTTTACTTCTAACAATTTGTTAAATTTAATTAATAATGTTTTCCTAGGACTTCCTGTGTTTTCTTGTCTATTTTTTCCTCCCTCACTTCCTGTTTTACTTTGATAATATGTTTTCTCGTGTCTCTGGTTGCTTTGCTTCACTTGCTTCACTTTCTCTCTTTATGGTCTGCTCCTGTAGGATTCCTGGTTTATTTTCTGGAGTTATTCTGCTGAGTTTTGGTTTTTCCTTGTACTGGATTATTGTTGGACTTATTCTGCTCTTCTTCAGTTTATTAAACTTACTTTTGTTTTGTTTTTTTCACCTTAAGAAATCTTAAATGTGTCCTACAGTTGTGTCCTGATTTTGCTGAAAGCTGGTTGCAGCTGTTTGCTTGGACATTTTCTCTGTTTTCCTGGAGCCGAAATGTTATGATTAACATGAACCCAGGGTGCTCAAATAATCAGCTTCCTGGTGAGAAAGTGCTTCCTGCTTTCATTAGCACATACCTGCCCCCCACCATGATCAATCCCCCATCCTCCCCCACAGCACCTATCACTCACCACTCTGTCACCCTGCCCACAAAGAGGTGAGAAATTACCACCAGTCTCCCGCTACATCTGTCAAACACGCACACATGCCACAAACAGCGTAGCAAACTTTTCCTCTCCTTCCTCTTCATTCGATACTTAAATGTACTCCCCTTGCTATTTATTCATGCAGCCTTCCTGTTAAATTTCAGTGCAATCGTCTGTGAAATTGCCACATGACAGACAAACCCGAGTGATTATGCGCCCAGATCACAATCTCACTTATTAACTTTGAGCAATAAAATGAGTGCGGGGATCTTTTTCTGGCAATGACTGCCCTTTTTTATTTTACCCTGTGAGGTTTTTATAAACACATGCACTCTTTAAACTAGTTTGGGCGGCACATCAATTATCAATCTAGGGCTGAGAGGGGCAGATGTTTTAAGAAGCCCTCCAGTATATTTTAGTTGCACCCACAGAGTTAATTTTTAAAGCTGAGTCAGTCAGAATGAGTGCTGCTTACAGAGTTTAGCTTTAACAGGGTGAGTTTTTATCAGTTTAAGTTCTTTTCACCATACAAAACAATATACAGATGAAATAGACTGATATACACTCACCAGTTTGTTGGGGACACCTGTTCAACTGCCCTCATCAAATCCGATAATCACGCTTTACTGGGTGAAAATCCCAGTGCTCAAAGGAGAATAGGAAGATGATTTTGAGATGACAGGAAGACAACCGTAACTCAAATATCCACTCATTATAACTAAGGTAGGCGCATCTACGGACACAAAATAACAACAAACACAAAGCAAACAAGCAAAAAATTGGTCTTGGCAAATGTAAATGCAGAATTTCAAAATCTGTGCACTTCTAATTTTAAAGAATCCAGCAGCAGTAGCACCAACAAAGAGCAATTAATGGTTTAGAACTTGAAATGCTAAATGCGGAACACGAGATTTCATATCTAAAGATTATTGCACATTTCTTTAACACTTTGTTTCATGTCTGGCCAACTTAATGTAACTTAAAGGCACCTTTGTCTTTTACCTCCAATCAAGTATGTTCGATGAAATGGGTGGATCTGTTTCAGTAAAAAAAACACGTCTTTTCACAAGTAAATATGGATGTAAAAATGTTAAAATACATATTAAAACTCTTACATTTTTGCAAATATCTACATAAGAGATGCAGTTTATGCATGTGTTAGACATCAAGGATAGACAAAGAAATACTTAATGTTGTTTGTTCTGTATTTTGATCCTGGTGCTTCATCAAATTATCATTTATAAAACATTCAAAATGGTGATACGATCCTTCTTATCGATCACAATGGCGTTATCGAGTTGCAGTAACTTGATTCCTTTGATGGCTTCAGTTTTACCCTTACAGCAAGGTTAAAGTCGGTGCAACACCAAAAGTACAAATCCTTTTGCAAAGAAGCCGCGATTATCTTTTATGGACGTTTATGTTTTTGTTGTTAGCACAAGCATGTGATAACTCTAATCCTGTTGTCCACGCAGGAGGAGAACCATGCTGTTTTTACATCCTTTTCCCCCATTTGTCACACGTACAAACAGAAGAGTGTGTTTTTACCTAATATATACAGCTCTATATGTGCCTGTCAACAATCTGCATGTCTAAATGAGTGCGCACAGAGACGTATACTGACAGGTGTCCATTTGAATGTATACATGTAGAGAAGAAATGGAGGAGAGGAGATTGTGTGCGCGTGTGTGTGTGCTCTAGGTTTTGTGTGTGTTTGTGAGAGCAGAAGTGAGAGAGAGGCTGTGAATGTCAAAGTGAAAGAAAAACATGCAAAAGAGAGGAAGAGTGGTCTGTGTGTTATGTAAGTGTGTGTGTGTGTTCTGTAGGCCTGCAGATTAATCCAGTGGGTTTTATCCTCAGTGAATGGGACAGTGGGGCTTTGCAGTGATTATCCCTGGAGGCCACAGATGATTGCTTTGAATTTCTTGCATGTCCGACACTGCCACGTTTGCCTGCCTGCGCATTGTTCTGTCTGCCGACTTTATTGGCAATACTGTGACGCTCCGTAAAAGTTAAAAGGCCATAAAATTGGAGAGCGTGGTAGATGCTTTATATATTATTCTTAATATGTGGAAGGTTTTAGTGGAATAATGTGTCTTTAATTGTGCAAAGTATTTTACCTGGCTGTGTTAATGTAAAGTTTAATGTGTACTTTCTTTCTGACCAGCTACTCCGCCTCCTCATGTCTGTCTTTCCATAAGTCTGCTTCTCTGTTAATCTGAACCGCAGCTTTCTGCCTGTCTGTCTCTACTTTGGATTATATAACGAGGAAATATCAGAATTGCAATCTGCTCCATCATCCCTGCTCAGCTGAGACAAAAATGGCTGAATGCTGGGAAGCTGCCCCCTCCATATGTTTTGGCTTTCCTAAAGGTGTCAAAATCAGGGCCTGGCATCTTAAAAGGTGCATTTTTGTATGCTTGTTGCCAGGTGGTCGACCATTTGCCTCTTATGTCATTGATGTTTGGCTGGGAAGTCATCACGTTACAGTACAGTTTATCTAGAAATATATAAATCCCTTTGATTTTGAAGCATAAATGGAAAATCTAAGAAATGAAGCCATTTTGGTGGCTTTTTAAAAAAATAACAAGTCTTAATATTTTCCTATGCTTTTCCTCAATGATTTTCCACGGCAGATTTCTCTCTGTGTGTCTATCCTGCCTCTCCACAGGGAATGTGTTAATTCGTTATAGCCATATTGTCACTGCGGGCGTTGCTTTGGGCAGGACACCAGCTTGTTCCATTCACACTCCACCACTATGGTCAACCTGGATGGTTGTCAGGAGGCTTGATTATAAAGCTGTTCTCTCAGTAACTGACATTCATCCTGCTTTTTTGAGTCCTTTTAATTTAAAAGTCATAATTTCTTTAATTTTTAGAAGCCTTGCTTTGGGCCACCTTGACATTACATCTACAGGAGCTTTTGTAAGCCCCGATCTTAAATTCTCATTTCTTGGAGGACTTTCCAGTGAATTTTCCAGTGTCTCCTAACTTTTCCCACCAAGTTAGAAGCACAGAACTGTTCAAAATATCTTGTTAAGCTGAAACATTAAGA